ATCAGCGTGCTTAGCTCGGCTAGAGGATGATAACGAGGCTTCCGCAGCACTTTAGGAAGGGCTATGGTGTTTTGGGTAGAGGCATGAGCCCAGGACAGGGTTGCAGGGAGAGGATGCTCCAGCTGCAGTGAAGCCAAAGGTCTTCTGACACCCCGTCCCTCTCCCAAACTCGTAGTGCCGGAGCAGAGAGGCTTCCTCTAGAGGTCACCAGAAACTAGGAGATGTGCGGGCTCCGCTCAGACATGTTAGGGTGGCTGGGAGCTAGACATCCAGGGCAGCAGCTGGGGTGTGCACACAGGCTTTCTGGGCATCACTGCCGGTGCTGGGAGGAGGCTTCCCTCACCAACACACTTCTGGCCACCCTGCTCCTGTGCCTGCTGGCATCCCACCGGCTTGGCTTGCATCCCTCTGGCTGGGCCCTTGGACAAGGATCAAGCTGTGTCCAGCTGTCTTTCCTAGAAAAATTCCCTCTCTCCTGTTGTCATTGCTGCCTGGGCCATGGGAGGTCCTGCCATGCACCTGGGGATGCCATTGCTGGCGCCCTGGTTTAACCTCAGACTGTGTCCACCCCTTCTGGGGATCTCTGATCCCCTTGGAGCTTGGCTCAAGGACAGGGGGATGCATGTGCTCAGCAGAAATGCGCTCCCATCACACGGCCACCAGTGAGCAAACACGCCTGGCTGACAGAGGAGGAGGGCTCAGCACCCAAGTGACCTTCCAGGGATGGATCCAGGCTTGGCCTCGGGGTCCTGAGGGCATGGAGGGGACCAGGGCAGGAACATCCCACAGAGGCTGCATGGGAGATCGCCCTCCACCTAGTCTCTGAGGCTGAGGACCAACACGCTGCCAGCTTCATTCCCACCCTGCACTGCCTGTGCATGGCATGGGAGGGACACGGGACACCCCTTGTCCTTCCCCATGCCCTGGCTAACACAAACTGCCTTCTCTCCAGACACGTTGATAATAAAGATGCTGAGGGGATGAGGGGTGGTGCAGGTCTGATGCAGCCCATCTGCGAGGACCAGTGCCCAACCAGAGGCTCATGCTTGAGCAGAACAAGCAGCGCTTCACGGGTGGGGGAACTTCATGGCACAATCTGCGTGGGGTCCTCCACATCTCCCCAGCCACCCAGGAGAAGGTCAGGCACAGGATCCCACCGCCCCAGGGAGCACCAACAGCTGAGTTTTATTAAGTACTCAGTTCAACGACAGGAGCAAGATAGAGCCTAGTCTTTGATCACATCCCAAAGTGCAAAGAGAGAAAAGCTGCACTGTCAGGGTGCCCAGGAGTACCTGGGCCAATGCACCTGCGGGACAAGGCTTCCCTGGCACTGCAGCTTTGCACACACAGGGATGGTGTGCGCACCAGGGATGTGTGTGATGGCTTGGCCAGTGGCTGGCGTGGTTAATCTCAACACCCCATTGCTTGCAGGTGTACTTGAAAAACAGGAACCTACCCTGAGAAAGACCCAGCCCTTTTCCAGTCCCCCCAGTACAGCACATGCAACACCCCATCACAGATTTAACCCCTTTGGCATGTAAACTGCAGCCTCCCCTGGCTTTTACAGCTCTGGGGGATCCCTCCCAGGCAAGGAGGCACTTTTGCTTTGTTGCTCCAGGTGAGAGCCTTTCCTTCCCTATTCCATCTCCCAGGGCTGCATCCAGCCTGCTGCCTGGCACAGCAGGGCCCTTGGGCTCTGTGCTCCCAGCTGCTCACGCCACCCGGCCTGAGCCTGCAGGAGCCCCACATCTGGAGCATATCTGGATGCAGGCCTGGCCAGTCCACACCCTGAGCCTTTGGGGAGCAAAGGGCCTCCTGCCACTCGTGAGGCATGAAGCTCCTACCAAACCTTGGTAGGGAAGCAGTGAGGAGAAAGGTGTGCGATCGTCTCACCGCTGCAGATTTTGGCGCTGGATGGGGGGAGGTCAAGTCTTGCCTCTCCTCACATCACCTACTCAGGGCTTATACCCATGGTGCTGGTGGGATGCAAACAGGGGATGCTGGTGGTTTCACTGCAGGGCTTGTGCCAAGCTGAGACATGCCTAGGCCCTAAACTACCATTAGCCAAAGCACTGGGACAACGGGTACCCAAGTCCATCCCTACCATCCAGGGGACACCTTCCCACCACGCCATGGGTCTTTCCATCGGGTCTGACCCATTGGCACGGGTGCAGTTACTCGGTGTACTTGCCAAGGGGGGCTGAGGACACAGCCTGTCTGGAGAGAGCCTGGCATGGGGGGCAGATGAGTCCAGTGACCCCAGTGGGGCTCTGTGCAGGGTCTCCCTGAGATTCCAGCATGCCGAAGAGACTGAGAGCCAGCCCTGGGTTCACAGGTTCTGCCTCTTGTCCAGATAATGAGGTCAGTCTTAGAGCAGTCCTGTTTAGCAGCCGGCAAGTCCCCAGCACAGTCTATACCAGGGAGGAGGCTGCTCCCATCCCAGGGCTGTGCACAGCCCATCCTGCAGGTAAAGAGTTTTTGACCATCTCATTTATGGGATAGGTGAAAACTGAAATCCTGTGATGACTGGGCAGATGGGAGGATGGGGAAAAAGAAGATGAGGAGGATGCTGGTCCCTCCTGCAGAACATGGCTGTACATCCTCCAACCCGCAAGGGGTCTTGGCTGAGACCCATCCCACCAACCCCACCACGCTCCAGTGCTGCTCAACCCAAGACCAAAGCCTGAGCTGGATCAGGGTCCTCAAAGGTGACAGGCTCTTAGCACCCATGACTACACCCAGCAGAGCTGAGGAGACAACTTCTGCACCCTCTTCTCATAGGGACACACCTTCATGGCCCAGGCACCCATGGACAGGTAGGCAGGACAGGAGGACATTGACAACCCACCAGGCTGTCAATCACCTGGCCTGTGCAAAGCACTGTGCTTGGTTGGGCAGCTCCCCGCAGCCTTGTGGCACCATGAGGCTGCCCCTGTCACCCAGACCCTGGGATTAATGCCTCCGTCACTGGCTCTGGTCACTGCTCACAGGTGTGGTGTTCGTGGGCACAGTGGGATGGGATGCATGTGCAGTACCGTGCATGCCACACAGCAGGGACCCACCTGGGTGGGATCAGTCCAGAGCTGTTCAGTGGCATCCACGAATTTCGATGGCAATGCCAAGGTGATCAAGCTCAATTAATTCCAAATGACAATTAAATGAAACCTTGCTGGGTGAGCTGCCAGCCCCCTGCAAGCTTGTTTCTCCCGGCTTGGCCTGTGCTGGGCCGAGGGTGCCTTGGAAGCAGGGAACGAGCACAGGGTTTGGAAAGATGCTGGGGTTCTCGGCTGGTATGTGGCTCTCTCTAGGTCTTTCAGCATCCTCCAAGCCCCCCAGCTGTTCCCTGAGCCCCACAGCAGGCAGACTGCAGGCAGGTCAGCCTTGCCAAGGTGCAAGCTTGTTTCTCCCGGCTTGGCCTGTGCTGGGCCGAGGGTGCCTTGGAAGCAGGGAACGAGCACAGGGTTTGGAAAGATGCTGGGGTTCTCGGCTGGTATGTGGCTCTCTCTAGGTCTTTCAGCATCCTCCAAGCCCCCCAGCTGTTCCCTGAGCCCCACAGCAGGCAGACTGCAGGCAGGTCAGCCTTGCCAAGGTCCCCCTGGCCCGGCCAGGCTGCTGCTCCATCCAGAGTGTTTTCTCCATCCCAAAGAGCCCTCCCAGCTGAGCGCTTCCCCTTGGGAGCCATTCCTGTGTCTCCCCAGCCGCAGCCAGCCTGCAGCTGAGTGTTTGCAGATGGGGCATCGCAGGCACAATGGGGTCAAGGCTGTGCCTTGCCTGGGGGGGAATGTTCCCCCAGGATCCAGGCTGGAGCACCTGGAGGACGTTCCTTGCAGGACCTGGGAGGATGCTGCCCTAAGCTCCTCTTTAGATAGCAGACAAAAAGAGAAGGCATAGATGACAGCATCCATCTCTTCCCACACATATGACCTCTGCATGTAGCACTTCTGAGCTGGGCAGCTGGGGGACACATCCAGCATTTGCCAAAGTGGGTGAGAAAGTCCCTGTGTGGGTGCCCGTGGCTCAGCACAGAAGTGCAGCAACAGATGGGAAAGCACACGGGGACCAGGTCCAACTAGACACAGACAGGGAGAGCCGGAGAGGATGGGACACTGGGAGGTCGTGGGGGGACAGATGGACACACAGCATCAAAGGCAGAGGGAGAAATTCCTTAATCCGCATCCCCGCCACACAGAGACAAAAGTTGGAGGAAGGCTGTGCATGGTAATTTTTTTGGCCAGGGGGGTCTGCGTGTTGCTGCTTGCCTTTGTGCACCTGCCAAAAGTCACTCCGGCTGGCTGTGAAGCGCTGCCCAGATTAATGAGGGATCAGTAGCCAGTGCAATGCAGAGCTATTAGCATCGCAAAAAAGAAAAAAAAAAAGAAAAGAAAAAGAAAAAAAAAGGAGAGAGAAATGAAGCAAGCCGTTGAACCCAGTAATTCAGCTGACAGCTTGCTGAGGACAGCGTGGGCTGGGATCCCATTCCCTGCTTTGGCCATATACCCACATCAGCCTGCTTGGAAAGATAATGGGGCTGCTGAGGGATGGCCAGTGCCCAGCCACAGCCCCGAGCACCAGAATCAGCCCAAGGGCTAGTGCCACATTGATGGGCATGGGGACAGACACCCAGGGAAGGTGGAAGGGAGGATTTCCCAGTGCTCGGCTTTCCCCCGTCCATGCTGGTCCTCACTGCACATGTGCTGGAGGCCTGGGGACATCCATACAAGCCGTTCACACCATGCACCCCAACAGGGGACATTCACATTTGCCTCCATCCCAGGTCCTGTCTGCAGACTGATGGCACTGCCTTGCGGTGCTCGGCACAGCAGGAGTTAAGGAAGACATTCCCTGCTCTGGGTGCCCCGGCAGTAAAAAAGGTCATGGTGCTCTGTTCCCACCTGAGCTCTGCTCCTGGTCCAGTGT